GGGGGGGTATGCATGTTTTGCATATTGAAATATATGTAGCCCCTCGTGCCAGTGCGCATATGTGTGCAGAATCTATTAGGACCATAACCTCCTAAATTATAAGTAACGAGTCTCACGTGAGTGGCTTTGCGTCATATTGTCATCTTAGGGGAAATTCCTTCAAAGGATGTTAAATCGCTTTATTTGTGTGTATTGTTTAAAGGATACATGCAGTTGTTTTGTTCTAATAGAACTGGCATGATAATACGTTTTCTTATCTATTTTTAATTTATTAATTTTTCATGCTCATGGGGTGGAAACTGCACAAGGAGCAGGGACTGATATTTGGTCAACATTAATCATATTGAAAAATAACAAGGTAGTTAAAACAATTTAGAATTGACTTTAAATGTGTTTGTTTCATTGACGAGGCCATTGAACGTCAGATCAAACATGATAATTGTAAAGCATACAGAATACAGTAATCAAGACGAAGGTTTTTCTGTCAAACAGACTGTAATTATTTACATTGTACTTGCGCTGGGTTAATTCCGTCTCACCGGCCCGTATGTGGTCCAGGAGCAAGAGATGGGATATAGGTGAAGACGCCGAGCCTCGAAAGAGTCTCGGGATTTATTGGGTAATTTGCATAATATAAGGAAACAGTCAAAGACAACACGATAGAAATAATTGCAACGCTTAAAGAGGTTTCATTCAGATGTCTGGCAAATGTATTTAGGCTGCCGTTTTTCCAGTGTGCACGGACCATCACCCCTTTTAAATTCATTTTGAGGCGAACGTTTGCGTGAAAAACAACGCCGGTGAAGCATTCTGAATATGACATTAGCCATGCCGTCAGTTCTGGAATTAATGAAAACGATAACAAGAATGCACTCCAGTTTGCGGTAATATATATCATTTGAGGAAGAAAGCCCACAATTTTATTATTTTGTTGTTCTCGGTAGTTGAAGTCTAATATTCGGTAAATGGCATTGGTTGCCCTTAATAATAATATAGCTGAATAAACACAATATCTTCTATTGTAACACAACCTGTATATCACGCTTTAAATGAAATGGCAATATATTTGCATGTATCACATTCGTGATATATTTCTGCGACCTTGATTTTAAAGGTAGTTTTAGAAAATGGGTCTTTAAAACTGTGTGGACATCTGCGAGTTAACGACTCTGCCTGGAATGACGGGGCAGTTTTCCCGCATTGTTGTCTGGTACTCAGGTGCTCTCAGCGCTGTTTGCTGTCAGAGATTGTGCCGAAACAATGCTTATGGTTAACACACGCAGCCAAACTGTAAATATTGTTCTTCGTGTGTTGTGTAAACCAGTATACGGAACATATGTCACTGCTATTTTAGAAATCCACTTTCTGCTGGTGCATCGGTATTACCTCTGTATCTGGCGTTCAAACGCTGAATAAAATAAGCTCGCGGGTGCTACTTCTACAAAATATGTCTACAGTGCTCTTTTCCCTGCTCCTTGTTCATTTGGCGTATGTAACCCTCCCCCAATCCCCGATGTCCGGATATTCCCATTCTTCTAAAATGAAGGTGAATTCTGTTCTTGAGCCATCAGGGGTCGCCCCCCTCCCCTCAACCCAGAAATTGACACACACTATTCTTTTTAGCCTTTCAGAGATATATTTAGTCACCCCACCCCCACCCAGAACTTTATCTCCTGCCAATCCGTGTAATATGTATTTATTGACTGTTGCAGTCCGCACGGTCTGAGGCAAGCGGTGTCTTTTTGCCCAAATCCGCAATCTACACGTCTGTCTTCGTCGTGGCTGGTATTACAGCATAATCTGTATTTGTCTGCGTCAAATGACAGTAAAATAAATACAAGAAAGTTTAACAAATAGATATCTCGAAGTTCTCGATGAGCTAAAGAGCAAAGAAGAATTATACATGTAAATGTCATTTTATGCTCGAATTCTTATATTGATTTTCCCCAATTATTAATCAGAATGATCTCAGCTGAAATACATTATATTTGTAGCGCATTTCAGCATCAGGGTGATTCATTGATTTTGTGGTGTCGTCGAACCGCAATGCTCGAATCCGATAGGCTCATCTGACGGGGCGCCGAGGGGAGCCGGACGGCGGAGGCAGCCGTGTCATCCTCCTGCTTTGCCTTTTGCAGATGTTCGTAGAGTCGGCCTCAAGACTAAAGTCTACGAGCCGTAATATAGGGGTGAGTGCGGAGCAGACCACCGGTAACAAACGGCCGCACAAGTTACTTTTCTACGTCCGTGCCTGGCAAAGCTGTGCAGCGTCCTTTCTGCACGTGAAAACGTTTTTTTTTTTTGTTTTTACTGCATTTTTATTACGGACGGGGGTAGGTTAACCCACGCCACTGAAAAGCGTGTGAATCCAGTGCACTTAGTGAACTTTTTTAGAAGTCTGCTTGTTGCCTGGTGGAATAATGGCTGAATCATCCAAGTTAGACTCTTCTCCCTCCTCCGGAGGACTGAGACAGGCTGGCAGGATGAATACTTTAAAAGATCCTGAATATTTCAAAACCGACGTGGAACGTGCTCCTTCCACGCGTCTCTCCCGCGGTTCCTTAAAGGTGCTTTGAAAAGAAGCGGCCTTTCGCATCGCGCGCATCTCCGTGAACCGAAGGCGCTTGTTGCAGCAGCACTCTGGCCTGGCCGCTCATCCCACATTCCTAACACGCTGTTACTAAACATTGCATCTTTCTCTGTATGAACGTTAACCCCCCTCCCAGTTTCCCAGACTGGTTATTTCTGTAGCCCCTTGGCTTTATTCTGTAGCAATCATGTTTCTCGAAAAGTAACAGGCTGGTGTACGGGGCGCCAGTTGGCCGCTCTCTCTGCCGGGCTCACAGCCTGATGTATCCGTGCCTGCGCCGCCCTGCACGAGATCCTCAGCTGTCTAGCGAAACTTGCTTGACGCTGCGCAGTTGTTGAGTTGCTCCGGTAATATCTTGTAGTTGAGCTCAATTGGCTTTAGCCCCGGGCCGAATGGCTTTGATCGAGGTTGTAGAAAACACTTCTCTATTCGTCTTTCTTTCTTTCTTTTTTTTCCACCGGGAGACTTGTTAGTCGTGTCTGCGCGTGAATGCGAAGGTGAGGGAACACCGTATAGTTCGCCACAGCAGACTGACTTCTGCATTCACCCCCCCTCCCCCTCCCCCTCCCCCGACACACACACACAAGTTTGTAATTATATCTTTGTGGGGACTCTCCATTCATTACTATGGGACTACACAGCTCTAACCTTAACCATAAGTAACCAAACAAAACACGAGATTTCGGCATTTTTAGTTTTTGATTGCCTTCTCATATTTGTGGGGACCAGAAAAATGGTCCCCACAATGTCAAAATAACAGGCTTTAACACAATGTGGGGGCAATTTGTCCCCACAATGTAATATAAACTTAATCCACACACACACACTTGCAAGAATTCTTTATAAATAAACACTGTAAAAAGCGGAATGCTCTTTAACGGTGTTTGGTTATTTGATTTAAACACCAAGCAGCTGATGGCAGGCTCCCGTAGATAAGAGCGATGCCTTTTGCCTTTCTGGGATTCTTGCTGGGGATGGCTGCCAATGTATGAGACTTTCCACCTGGCTGGTAATCCGGACCAATTATGGGCTCCTGATAGCGCGAGGTGGGCGCGTCACTGGCGGCGGAGGGTCGATACGGCACGCCGGGTGGGGTGGGGGAGCCTCTGCTTGCCGTCTTGGACCTAAACGTAACTCGGGCCGTGGCGTCTTTAGCATGAGCCCCTTGAAGCACCGAGGAAGAAGAGAAGCCGGGATCAAGAGCAAACGTCACTTGTATCATCTATTGGCGGCTTTCCGCTCCTTAGCTGCTCCTATTGCAGATAGCCTAATACTACATGAATACAGTGGCAGAAAAAGGCTGCCAGCGCCTCCCTCACGCCCTCCGTGCTCCTGCCCGGACATGCCGGCCACGGGCCCGCCGTAACTTGACGCCGTGCAGAGACTGTAAGCATGCGCGGTGCTTTAATATACGCGAGGCTTAAACGATTAAACGTCGCGGAAATACACTGTGGATGGGGGCGGCCATGGTGGATTCCTTGGTGCAGATGTTAAAGACAGCTTTCTGACCC